TCACACTCGGTTTAGTAATGAAACAGACTCTATTTTCACAAACAAATCTTTAGTAAAAATACTTCATTGATTTTTTTGTGTACAAAAGACTTTGAATCATTACTGAAAGTCTACCAAATTTTGTGAAAATACACTTATGGCAGTAAAAGGCAAAATGTTTTTAAAATGGTTGATATTTTGGCTAAGTGCAATTTCCTTAAAATCTAATTATATTTTAAAGCAAAATGTTAAGCCTTTGTCAGTTTTTGTTCTGGAATCAGTAAAGCAATTATACTTTTAAATGCAAGAATTGTTTAAAGCCTCATGGCTCTAATGATGTAAACCAGCCTTTCCCAAAGCATTAGGATATTCAATATTACCATAATGCAGAATTAAGCATTTTAGTATTTTTATGTGTATCTGTGTGTTATATCTCATCACTTAACTCTCTGTCATTTAAGGGGTGTGTGTGTGCAAGCAACTATTTATTAAGAGGGTATAAATGACAAAACTTTTGGGAAATGCTGGTGTAAACTAAACTGCATGTCATAATTTTGTTGAATTTATTATTTGTACATGTTGAATAATAATTAAATATTTAAGTGGATAAAAATTCTTTTAAATTTTAAAATTCCCATCACTAACTGGAATTTATGCAGTTGAAGCTTAATTTCTGCAACTGTGTCAGTGATCATAAGTATGGAGATTATTATTTAAAAGCCCACTAAAAATTAATATTTTGTGGTATAACATCATGTGATTAAATTATTTTACATGTCTATTTTCAGGGATATGGATATGGGTATGCTCCAAATAGGGGTGGTGGACGAGGGTAAGTCTCATTAGATTTTTTCTGATAAAAGTGATTTTATTATAAGTTTCGAGTGCCATTTCCCACTTTCCATTTTATTTATTCTGTGATTGAAATTACTGTTCAATTTTTGGTGTTTATGAAGCACACTGGCTTTTTTTATTACATGTACATCATTCTAGAGTATATACTATGAATTGTTTAAAATAGGACAGTGCCTAATTATTTGCAATAAGTATTTCTTAGTGTTTATTTTTTTCCAGGCAAGATGAAGACCGGGTAAACCACATTTTGCTAATGACTATTCTTAATCCCGCATATCCCATCACTGTGGTAAGTGTCTTGACATTTGCATATGAAAATTGGATTTTTTTGTGTATTTTCATTAGTTTTGTAGACTTGAAGTTCTTCTAGCTTTAAGCTAAGTGTCAATTTTAAGTGTATGACCACTTGATTAGTAAACAGTGTCTATTTCAAAGTAAATTTGTAAAAGTGATATGCATTTCACCCTCCAAGCATGGGTCAGTCATTGTACATGAGGACTTTTAAGACCTTCAGCTATTTACCTTTTCATATATATTTTGTAGTTTCACTGCCTGGCTTGTACATTTCTTTTTTGTTGGTCCTGCAACCACCACCACTAATGTTTGAAGAGCAATACCTCACATTTTCAGATTCTCAACACTTAACCTTTTATCATCCATGGAAGGGTTTTTTCTATTACTATAATTGTTTTAAATGTATCGATGAAGGTGATTAAGGGTTACATATGCACACATGCAATTTTGTACTTGTGCACTCTTGGTTAGCTAAGCCAAATTTTTTTTTCTCCAAATCTTTGATGACAGAACAAAATTACTTTTCAAATGTGCTTTCCATAACATAACTAAATTAGAAGGTCCAAAAACATTAAATGTTATGAGCATCAACTAGCATACCAACACAACTAATCAAATTCTGTAAAGGACTGTTAACTCTCAACACGGGCTTGATCAATTTGACCAATCACATGACCTCTTTGTACTCTATTAACTCTCTCAACACAGGGTTAACTTTCCCACGGGAACAATGTTGCTTCCCCTGAGTGAAATTGATGATTATCTGTTCATAACACAAGGTTATACAAGTTATATTGTGAAAGAGGGGATGTGGCAAGAGGGGTCTGATTTTCTATTTGGTAGCTCGGTAACCAAACAAAATTGAAGGCTATAAAAATTATGGTCTGTTTGAGCAATAACGATTTTATAGAGTATTTTACATTTAATTTCGTACATTTTCGAGAGCTGATGGATAAATTAGGGATGATGACATGCTAAGACAAAATGTGTCACGTCTGTTGCAGAAGTGGAAATTCAGGATTTTATTATATATTTACTTTTAGAATTAAGAACTTAAATCTTGTATACTATTAAAACATGGATTATTAGCTAAGATTTTATGCTATTCTAATTGGTATAACATAAACAAAAAATAGTTTAATAAAATTTTGAATTTAAGGTAATGTGTAACATAAACATAAAAGAGAACTATTAACAAAACCTGAAAGAGAGGATGTGGCAGAAGGGATGTGGTTTTCTATTTATAGCTCCGTAACCAAACGGAATTAAAGGCTATAAAAAAAGTTATGGTTCATTTGAGCAATGACTATTTTATAGTGAGTAATGTTGGATAGAGTATAAAAGAGAAAATGTTACACCAGAAAAAAATTCGGTATGTATTTTAATGTTGCCTTGTAGAATTAAGAACTTAATAATACATATTTTAATAGTATACAAGTTTTAACTACAGTTTTATGCTATGCTAATTGGTATAACATAAACAAAAGGTAGTTTAATAAAATTTTCAATGTAAGACACTAAAACTTTGTCATGCGTAGTAAAGGATACCCGAGGTAAAAGGGTTAAGAAATTAACAAATGTATAATACTTTATAATCTACAATTTGATACCAAGTTATTGACATAAAATAGTAGATCAACAAAATGTCAGTCTACAAACACAATGATGTGGATTTTGCCACATGACCATAGGAATACTCATCTTGGTAGGGTTAATTGATGTTACATTGAAATTGTATGAACTGAAACAGAACACAGTATGTATACGTCACTTGACACGGGAAATTTTCTTTTAAAAGCTAGATATTAAAATTTGAATTATAACTACAGTCTAATGCCTATTATATTGACATACATTGATAATATAGTAACTTTTTCATTTAACTCTCTGAAATTAAATATTGTGTCAAGTCCAGAGGAGCCAGATCTATGTTTAAAGAGTTAATTGGTACTACTATAATTAAAATCTTCACCAGATACTTTTAGGATTTTCCTTTTTGTTTATTCTGGTTTTGTTTTTACAGGATGTTATTCACACCATCAGTAGTCCAAGTGGGAAAGTGCAAAGAATTGTCATTTTCAAAAAGAATGGAGTACAGGCAATGGTTGAATATCCTTTTACTGTTTTTTTTTAATTGAATGTTCATTTAGTCTAAGCTCTGAGTAACTTTTTTTTATTAATATGTTGTGGTCTCCTTTTTGTTTGGAACCTTAACTTGTTCATCACATTTGACAGTGTAGAATCTGCGAAACGAGCAAAGCAGTCATTGAACGGAGCTGATATTTATTCAGGATGCTGCACGTTGAAAATTGAATATGCCAAGGTGAGGGCAATTGTGCAAGACCTGGTGTAATTTTTAAATTTTTTAATTTTCTAAACCAATTATAAAGTTTCCCCCAATGACCAGTTCATGGGTAATTTTTTTATTGTTTTGTTGATTTATTGTAAGTTTGTGAATTTTGAATTTTTTTTCTGGCGATGGATGGATAAGATTTGCAGCAGTACTTAACTGTATTAATTTTTCAGCCCAAAAGACTAAACGTGTTCAAAAATGACAATGAAAGCTGGGACTACACGAATCCTACCCTTGGTAAGTTGAAATTTTTCAAAATGCTTTTCTTGGTTTATAATTTCAAACTATAAAGTACAACTTAGTGAAATGTAGATGTGGAAGTAAAATATTTCCGAATTACAGTAATTTTAGATCCCCCCCCCCAAAAAAAACAAACAACAAAAACTGGTCACTGTTGAGGATTGTGTTGCTCGTTTTGAAATTTTTGGACATCTTGAGCCTTATTGCTAAAGATAATTTGAAAAATAATCTTGGATTCTTAGACTTAAAATTTAGATCTAAGGCTTTATAAATAAAGTCCAAATTAAAGAAATATTCTTAAATTAAAAACTTAATCTTTTACATTGCACTACCTTAAGATTATAATAGTGTTACAGAAGTTTGTATAAGTTGTAGAACACACTCTTAAAGAATTCACCAAATTTTGGAGGGGATTGAAATAAAAAAAAAAGTGAAATGGATGCTAAGGAGGGAAGTTGTTTAAGAATTTTGGGTGAGACTACTCTTTGGATTCTCTAGATAGTGCATGTTTCAGTAATGGAACAGCAGTAATTACAATTCTCTTGGGACTCTAGTTTACAGAACTTCTGGTTAACCCTTTTGTGGCGGGCTTGTGCAATTTGCAGAAATCAAGTCACTAATTTATTAGTACATACAGTAATTCTGAGGTTTCATAATGTATTCTTTCAAAAACTGATAAGATTTTGTTAAAGATCAGAAGTATCTTGTACACAAAAAGTGGTGTTTTTATAATTCTGTTTTTACTAAAAAATTAAATTTTTTTTGTTGTAGTTATTTGCATTCAAACTAACAAATTGCCTGCAAGGTGATATTCATTTTAAGTATAAAAAATACTTTTCTTTGTCTTATAGTTTTCATATTTTATTTGCATAATCTCTAGAACTTCCTTAAAGGATATCAAAAATATTTTTTATCAATTTACAAGATTTTTTAAGTAATGTTTTTTTTTGTGCCTTTTTTCTTTTGGAATGTTGACTATCCAACATGCAAAGTAATTAAGATTAAAAATAGTTTTATGCATCAGAAAATTTTCAAATTTCTCATGCAAAATTTTTTACCTCCATAGTTATCTAACGTTTTTTAAGAAAAAACTTTATTTTTTCTATCGAATCTCTGTACTGGTTCAGTCAATTTGACCGACCTCGTAATCACCATAAAAAATTAGGAGATAGATATAAATTATGCTTTTTTCATTCTAGAATGACTGCAAATTATAACACGAAAACACTAGTGTTTAGTTTAAATAACTTAAGTCTTATAACATTATACATTTATATGTATTTATTATATTAACCTTTTCAGCCATGCCTAGCTAACATTACAGAAATTGCAATGATGTAGTACACGTGCACTAATGTTATCATATCCAATAATATAGAACTGGCCGTTACAAAGTGACCTGTCTTGGCTTTGTTTTAGTGGACTAGTATTTTGGAAAATACAGTCACGTTGCAGTAATAATACATTATATACGTATATAAGTTATTAAAATTTTCAAACATTTTCTTAAAACATAGAACAATAGATAAAGAAGTATAGCAAACAATTCTCTTCTAGTTACAAACTTTGTACTCACTTGCTGTAAGTTGCTAAGTCTTTTCAAATTTTACATGTGGAGGCTGTAAAATGTAAAATTTTTTTTTTAGGTTTTATGTATAAATTTTGAAATACCCAAAAATTGTAAATTGCTGCTTCAAATCTAGCATAAAAAGAAAGTTTGTGTGACCTAGATATTTCGAGAAAGCCACTAGACATTCTGATCTCTTGATCGGTTATTCACATGTTGGATTAGGTGTACGTAGGCAGGTTTCCCAAAAATGGAAAGGTTTGGGCGAGGCCACTGTTTGAGTGCTATAGTCAATTTCATGTACTCTGTAATGACAACTTGGTGCCATTTTCAAAATAACTTGTTAATTGTACTGTAAAATTAGCTAATTCTAATGGTTATAATGTGTATGTTATGTCTACATGGGGGCTATAAAGCTCAAATCTGTTGTTGGGCATGGCAGCTGTCAAGAGTTGAAAATTTTTGTTACTTCTTCCAACTATTAATTCAGAGAACTTTGAAAGAGTCAAAAAGATATTTAAGCTCCTTATTGTCTAGACGTACCTCTACAGTACTGCCGTTGTAGTGTCAAAGATATTGTCAAAATAGAAATGTTCATAGCTTCTTGGTCGCATGTTAATACATCTGAAGTTTTAAGTAGTTTTTTAAAGGTTTATTTTGAAATAAAGGACTTAAAACTTGGATAAAATAAAACTTTGAATCATGACACACATTATAATAATAAATTTACATACATTGATGTTAAAGATGTTTAATTAAATTCTGAATGTAACACAGTGAATTTTGCAGAAAAGCATTTAAATGAGCTCCCGTTGCAAAAGGGTTAATGAGGTGGGATAACTTGTACGAGTTAGCAGTTACTCTTTACTGATTTCATAATAGAAAAAATGGCTAAAGCAAATGGGTTAATTACCTGTACCAGGCATGTTCTGCCGGTCTTCTGTAATATCACCCTCCCCACTAACAAGTTTCAGATTGAAACATGAAAATTGTTTTGGGGGTATTTTAAGATTTTGTACCTAGCTGTAGTAAACATTCAGTTCATTATTTAAGACTGACATCTAGTGGTGAGTACATAATTTAATGTAAAAACAAATTACTTTTTTGTACTGTTTTCTCTTTGGTATTTTTAATGTGTTGTTTAACAGATGTGTACTGCCAAATTATCTAGCTAACTTTAATTAAGTGATTTCCAGTAATTTTTCACAATGTTTGTTTTTAACTTTAAAATCAAGTTTTTAATGTTTTAAGTTTACACAGTTTACTAGGATATTAAACATAACTCTTTGTACCTGAAGTTTACAAGATGTATGTTAGAGTATTAAAATAGTAGTTTCTGAACTTGTATTGATAATATTTATGGTTATTGTATATCATTTTCACAAAATGTCAATTTTTCTTGCACTATAAGCTAAATGTAATTTCCAGTTCTTATAAAACTTACCTGCACTCTTCCTCTTTAAGTTGAGATATATATTTAAACTCAAGTTTGTTGTGTTTACAAGTCCATTTTAAACATGTCATTACAGTCCAGATGCACTTAAACATTCATAAATATTTATATAAACCTTAAACTTGTTTCCCAGATGAGCATAGTACAAGTGTAGGTGTATATTAAAGTTTGATACTGTTGTAGTGGTTTTAAAATTCAAAGCCTATTTTCTACACTTTGTGGGTATATCTATAGAATTTGAGATTTTTTTTAACAAAAAACCTATCAACCACAAATGAACATTAAACCTATTCAGTGTTTATAGCAAATGTCAATTTCATCAAATTAAAACTGTTACATGGTGATATAATAGTACAAACAGGTATTTGTTACTGTATTTTATATGATGTTGTCCTGTAGAATGACACTGGTTCACAGAGAATGTAGCTGCATGTTAAATGTAAATTAAGATGTTGAACATGAGAAGTCATTTGTCACAAGATCAATTGTTGGTAGAATACATGTTTGATTTTTAAAAAGTTAGTTAATTTTTAACTGGAAACTTCAGTTTTGTCACTTCCAAATTTCAAATGTACAGATGTTTTTGACATACCACTTGCAAAGCATTGTAAATTTTGATACATTTCACCTTAATGTGTTCATGTGTAGCCAATTTATTGTCACTACTAACTTTAACAATGTGAAAAGCAATACAAGATTTTTCCACAAAATGGTGACTTGAAAGATGTCCATATCAAGATAAATTTGAAACATTTATTCAAAATTATTTTGAAGGGTAATGAATAAAACAATGTTCTGTGAAAGAAATTTTGAATTTTCCTAAATGTCTTATAGAAGTAATTCATGAATTTTGCAAGAAAGCACCATTTCTATCCCAAAAAGATAATTTATTGCATGATCACTTATATTTTTTCCATTAGTTAGACCCACTCTTCAGCTAGTACATTTGTTTATGCGACATTGAATGCAGAATTTAATTACTGAATCTTGTGGTGTTCTACAGTGGTCACAACTACAAGTTGTTAGTTAGGTGCTCAAAAATTTCTTTTCCCTGAATGCCTGATATATATATGAAAAATGTGTCATAGAAACCAAGTGATTTCTTGTTTAAATAGTGTAATTTTGATTTATCGTTTGAGCATTGCTTTCATAAAAACTCAATGTGCCACTTGCATTAACAAAAATACCATTTTGTATTGTTAGTAAATCATCTGCTCAGATTTTAAAATGTGGCTGAAAATAATTTGGAACAGCTTTTAGGTGTGCTAAAAGATATTTGAAACTATATTTAGAAAACTACTAATCTTTATAAAATGGAATATAAAAAAAAAAGAATGAAATAGTCATTGGCATTTCTTGTGGCTTGTTGGATTAAAACTATGAGTGGAACAAACATAATCAGTATTAATGTTTATGCAGATAAAGCTAAAGATTTTTTAACTATTTCATAGCTAGCCTAAAGATTAAAACGTACTGGACAATAACGTGAAATTTTATTAAAGGTCATTAGTAACACTTTTGAAAAAATGATTAAGTATTCGTGTACATGTGGTAATAATAATAATGTACAAAGTGTAGCTCCAATACATTTCATTAAGTTTTAGGATTGCCTTTATCTCTTAAGCACTTGCTTGGGGTCAATGTGGACCTTAGTCAAATGATAATTCCATAAGTTTTTTTTTTTTTCATCTCGTCACTTTATTTGTAAAGGAATAATTGTTCTTTGAAATCTTTCTAGAAATAAAAAATTTTTAGTTTGTACTAGCACATGTACACCCCCCATGAGTACTTAAGGGTTTTAAGTGATCCATGTGTACTTTTGCTGGCCTTACATTGAAAGTTTTTAAAGGGGATGAATACTAATTAATATGTGCTAGGATATTTTGTACAAGCAATACTGTATTCAACAGTTGCAATTACAATTACCTGGTATCTCAGTATTTCGAGTTTTTGGATAGTGGTGCTTTCTTTTATGAATATATTAAATAGTTACACTAAACTTTAACCCTTGTTACATTATGTGAATAAACATGCCTTGCTAATTTAAATATTCATTTCTATATGAAGTGCATTTTTCATGTTGTTAATTAAAAGTAATGAAACAGACTCAATTCAGTTGTGTTCAAGGCAAAATAGTTTCATGTCATGAGTTTTGTATGTAAACTAATCACAACAAATAATTAAGATTCATATTGCCTCCAGAACAAATTGTACATTTTCATGTTGATATTGTCATTGAAGAAGTTTATATAGTTTTATAGAAATCAGACTTTATTGGTGGTGGTGTAAATACATAGTCATTTCAGTATTTTCATGTAAACAAATACATTTTTGTAATATTGTCAAGTATTACATGCTCCTGTTGGTAATGATCTTGAACAAATTTTCCAGAGGGAACTAAAATTTTAAATTCTGTTGAAAGAAATATTTCATCTTCATGTCAGTATAATCAGAACAAATGTACATTTTCATATTGATATTCAGATTTAAAAAAAAAACATTTGTAAATTTTATAATTTCAGTATTTTCAGATATAAACTTTATGTCAATATTGGTTTTGGATTAAATGCAGTTCATATTTATATCAGAAGATTGTTACATTATCATGTCAGTATTCTCACCAGTGAAAAAAATTACATTTTCATGTTATCTTCAGTGAAACAGTACATTTTGCTGTAATACTGTTTACAGAAGAAAAGGGGAATATATGCCATTGAAATAAGGATTTTTACATCAGTATTGTCAGAGAAGCAAGTACATTTTGTCAATCATTACAAGAAGACATAAGTACAACTTTGTTCCAGTGTTCCTCTGAAGAAAGAGTACAGTTTAACTTAAAATACATGTATAGGATTGAACATGCACATTCTCACTTCTCAGATAAAATGAATACACTGTTATTTTAATTCCATCAGAAGAAGTAAAATTAAGAGGGTTAACATCATCAGTGTTCAAACCTACAGTTAGATGAGTTGTGGTGTTTTACGTGCAAAAAAACTTCCATTCAATCATAGTCAGTGGATCCCATTTGAAACAAGCCTTTGAAAGACATTAAAAAGGCATCATCTACTCAGAGATTACTTTTTATTTAGTGAGAAGAACCATAGTGCAAATACTTATTCATGTCTGATACAGACACGTATTTCTTTCCCATGACTGCTATACACAAGTAAAGTTTGAATCATGATGTATAATTAAGCTGCAGTTGTGGGAAAACAGATGTTCATGACCAACATCTCAACACTACACGGTGAAAGAACAGATCTGTGCATTACAATTAATGTGAGTGGCAAGAATGCAGACCTAGAACGCTGACATCAGAAGACATTTCACTGAAGTCCTCATGTACACCCAGTACTCCTTCAAACACAGCCACAAAATTTACTGTTGTCAAAAGTTTTCTGTGTTCTAAAGCATTTCAACCCTGCATTTAGGCAAGGTTGATGGACTTAGAAGGCAGCATTCCTGGGGCGAAGGTGTAGTCGCTCTTGGCTGATGTCTGCCACTCTGATCCTCCAGACATCTCCACAGCAGTTTTGTAGTCTTGGTGAGCTGTCAGAGTGAGTCAAGCATATCAAGGGGGTTGTAGTTACTTCTGTCAATGTGTATCTGAGGTAAAAAATTGATGTACTATTTCTACTTGAAGGTAAAATTTCTCAGGTACTGATTTATTATGAATCATTTGTGTAATAATCACTAAAACTAAATTATTAGTATACTGAAAGTTTCAACATGTTTTCAAATTACTTGATATATGGCATTAATAGTTTAATATTGCCATACTAATTTTAGAAGTCTGCTGTTTCCATGGTATTCTGTATTGTGGTTGAATAAAATGTTTTGCACAATGTCCAAAAATATTTATTTCCGGTTTTAACTACTGATTTCTTTGTACGTGTCTTTCAGTGATTATTGGAATCTTTGATGTTAATTTCTGTCATTAACTTACTGTTTTAAAAGTTGTATCTACAAAGAAATTACTATTTGTGGAAAGTCTTACTGAAGCTGTTTTTTTTCCTACGATCTTGAGGCTTTTAATAATTTTTTTGAAAGATTTTAGATTAATTTTGTAATGTATTATATATTTACCATTTTTCCAGTTCAACTAAGCACAGAGTTAATTTCTCCTTAATATTGATCAGAGATATTCTAAGTCGAATGAATTAAACTATTCAATTTTTCATTTTAAAGATATGGTAGCAAACTTTGGTAAGTTTCTAGTTTTTGGGTATTGAGATGAATGCTTGAAATAGGTTAATGCTTTGTAAATATTAAATTTAAATTCCTGTCCTTTAGACTTTCAGGAGATTGAATTGTGCACATTCATCATTTAGCTTTTTCTTACACAGGAAAAGCACCAGGCAATGAAAGACCTGCCCTTCTCCAGGAACCTCCACGTTTTGGAGGTGGTCCACAGAATTTTAGTGAGTTTTTTTAACTGCTTCCAGGTTAAGAGATTAAAAAGATCAGTGCTTGCATAAAACCAATTCATGATTTACTTAAGAAGACCACAAGTATTGGTTTATTGAAATATAATCAATTTATTGTGGCCTTGTAATTATTATTTTAGCCACTAACGTTAATAAAACATTTCTCTGTATTAAAAATGCTTCATTCTAAGGCATTAATTTCTCACTTGATGAAAGGAGCTGAAGGAGGACGTGGGCCACCAGTTGCTCCAGGATATGGGCCAGACAGAGGCGATGGATTTGATGGATACGATAATTCTGGACCTCGTTCAGTACCTCCAGCACCTGGGGGTTATGGAGCAGGCGAGCCCTATGCACCACAGGATCGTTACGGTGGACCACCACCACCAGATAGGTTTGGAAGGTATTATGTTATAACGAAAATGACAGACTTAAATTAATTTTGAAAATTATCCTAGATGTCTGTGGAACTGAGAATCTAAAAGGTTATTTTGATATTTTATACTTGTACCTATTCATACGTTTTTATTTGCCCAGAAAGAGCATCATTGTGATCTGTTTGTAAATTGATGTTTCCATAGATTTGGAGGAGGAAGAGATGCTTATGATGGCCGCCCTGAAGGACCACCACCTGGCCCACCAGGACCACGTGGTCCAGGCTATGGACCTATGGGTGGACCCCCACCTGGAGGAGCTGGTCCTCATCAAGGTTCTGTTATGATGGTGTATGGTTTAAATCCAGAGAAGATGAATGCCGACAAACTGTTTAATCTGTTCTGTCTATATGGGAATGTGATCAGGGTGGGTAAAGCATTTTTAACATATTTGTATTTTGGTTGCTGTCTGTATTGTAAAGATTAAAAGCTACAATAAAGGAATCTTTAAAACAGTTTTGCAACAAACTAGTCTAAATAGATAATGTTATATACTTCATGTTATTTTAATAATGAAGTATGATGTCAAATTTTCTGTGTAAAGTTATTTCTGGTTTAATGTTTCAGTGAGCTGTGTAGCTTTAAAAGTCCCAACTTTTTGACAGCTGTTACAATGTTAGTAACAAAGGTTTACTTGAGTTTTCAATACATGTTGGAGTTTCATGGTTCTAGACCCTAAAAAGATTGCTTTAGTATCAAAGCAAATCTAGGAAAAAACTGAGTGGAGATGGGGATCTGTTTTTGAGAACCTGATCACTAATGGCAGCACCCAAACCCCAGACTAATTTTCCTTGGATTTGCCCCACAATCCACCATGTGCATGGTTTCTATAATGCATCTGATATTTTTTTAGATCAAGTTCTTAAAGAGTAAAGAAGGTTGTGCCATGATTCAGATGGGAGACCCAATTGCTGTAGAAAAAAGTGTCACCCACATGAATGGAGCCATGTTTTTTGACCACAAGATGAATTTAGGGTATTTAATTTTCTATTCATAAGTGTTACATGTTTCGTTTTGTTTTTCTACTTAACAAAAATCATTAAGATTTACCATAATATCAAATGATTGGTACTTGGAAACTTTTTTAAATGAAATTTGTACAAATGTAAGTGTACTTAGCAACAAGTTCCGTTAGTAATTAAAAGAATTTATTCCAGCTATTCCAAACAAGCTTTCCTGAATGATGTTCAGCAACCATACGAACTTCCTGATGGCACTCCCTCTTTCAAAGACTACATGGGGAACAAAAATAACCGTTTCACGACCCCAGAAGCAGCCATGAAGAATCGGATTGCACCACCTTCCAAGATGCTTCATTTCTTCAACACCCCAAGTGGAATTACTGAAGATGAATTGAAAAAGGTGAGACTAGTATCAATCTGGTTAGTAGTAGAACTGGAAGCATATTTTAACTAGTGGTTAATTAATTTTTATTAAAGATCATTGTCAGTTAACATGGTTTATAACAATTGTATAACTAAATTATTAAATTTTTTTTATTTTTATTAAGAATATTAAATTTCTTTATTTTTGTAGGACAAGACAGTGTCATGTTTGGGTCAGGAATATAAAATTAAGTTACTTGTAACCTTTGAATATACAGAAATTATTTTTTTCCAAATTTTTGGAAAGATTTGGTACAAAATGTTAATTGGTCACAACACCATTTTTTAAAGTATACCTATACACGAGAAATGTGTAGAACTGTACTTGGCTAGTGTTATCTGTTACGACAATGAGGCTTGCATTGTTTTGCTGGATTTCATACCTTCTGTACTTATGTTAGGTTTTGATGCGAAAAGCAGTCTTTGGTTCACTGAAGTGGCAAAGTCCTTGGGCTAAGTTTTGTAAAATAAATTGAACAGATTTATACTATTTTGTAGCGAAGTTAATTACATACATGCATGCATAAAGTTTCTAGTATAATCTAACAATGGTTACTATTAAAAAGTTGTTTTTATTTTAAGGTTTGTAGAAGCACTAAAGCAAGGTATATTTTTACTTTTAAGACATTCTTCCTTAAACTACAAGCACAATGTAGATACTCATTTTTGATTTTTTTTTAATGCTACAAGAAAAAAGTCAATAGGCTAAATTTTAACTTGTGTAATTAAAAATGTTGGTATTGGCAGACATGGTTCTGTAACCACTGGCTATCAGTGTCAGCCAAGAAAATCTTAATCAGTGCATCCCTAAAAAAATGTAGACTTAATGCTGTTTTAAGAGGTTTACTCAATTTTAAAAAAATGTTCAAACTTGTTTTATCTGTGTGAACTGAAAAAATTGCAGTTTTAAGATTTATTTTTGTCTTCTCCTAAGCTTATGATTCTCAGATTAAAATTCAGTTTTATCATCTTTTTAATTTCTTCACAGTTGTGAATTTATTGGTTAACGTGTAGGTGTGTTTTATTGCCAATATTTCTTAAACTCTTAGGCATTTTTGCCTAAAGAAAATTAGCCCCTGAAATAAATTTTATCTTTCAACTTGATGTGTAATAGTGTAAGTTTGGAAAATTATTCAGCATTTGAAAAGTTTCAGATAGAACTTGTGATTATTACATTGTATTTAATTTTCTTAAAGCTATTTGAGGATGCTGGGGTGAAGCCACCTGTGTCTGTGAAAAAATTCCAGTCAAAATGTAAGTTTTTCTGTACTTCATAATTCCATTGAAGTTGTAAGTGCATGTTTGGCTTAATTGTGTCATTCTGTTCTTAAAGGTGTGTAGTAAAATTTGTGTAATATGAGTGTTAACTAGAAGATAAGACCACAAGTAATTAGCATTTGTCTTTGTCAGAATGCCTTCAGAAACTATGATCTGATAACTTTATTGAATAATTAATTGCCTTAGTATTAATGTACATTAACCACTTTATAATTACTAGCTGAGAGAAGCTCATCCGGACTACTGGAGTTTGCTGGAGTGTCTGATGCCCTTGAAGCTCTGGCTGTTGTCAACCATAAGGCTATTCCCAACCCTGGTGTGTTATTGTTAATATCTTTATATTGTGGAGTGATATAGTTAGACATAAGTGACTTGCTAATGGATGATGGCAGCAGTTTATTGCCAATTACATATTTTTCAGAGTAATGTTTAACAAATCTTAATTTAGTAGACATACCTGCGTAGCAAATACTTCCAAATGATATGCTGGTATTAAGAAGAAAGTTCTTAACTTTGGGTTTTTTTTTTTTTTTTTTTACTTATTAATTAAGCATACATTTAGTTTTTCATAGATGTTTAGTTTATTTGTCTATAATTTCTTGTGCAAGAAGTGAACTTAAACTTATTTTGCTCTTTTCTTTTTTTTTTTACAGATAGCAAATTTCCATACATCACCAAACTGTGTTTTTCAACCACTGGACCACGCTTTTAGATATCATTAAGTATGATGCCATTTTAATGTTTAACGTTTCCTGCACTTCAAACTTCAGTGGGCTCTGTTGGTGTTTGTCTCAACTAGTCTTAGACAAGATGTTAAGGAGACTGTTTTTTTTTAAATGTTCATTTTAGTAAACAGTTTTACCTCTGCATACTTACACTTGCATCATTAATCACCATTGTCAAAATATAGAAATTGATGACTTCCTTTTGTGGATATTCATTGGTTAAACTGTCAAGTCTTGTCTTGTAAAAATATAATCGCATTGACTTTAAGTAAATGGCAAAGGCTTTAATATTATTCGAATCTTGTAGGTTTTATGTACAATTTTGTTTAAAGCTAATTCAGTCCAGCTGTGGTTGATTTCTTTTGTTACATATGAAATAAAGATGTCCAGGTATGAAATTTCCGTGTAGTTTTATAACATGGGTTGAGTAACAAAAGTACAAAACTGTGTGTGATACACCTCATCAAGTGAAGTCATTCCACTATTGTTTTAAATAAGAATGTATATCCTATACATGCACAACAGCAAACTTATTGTATAACTTTTCGAAATATTTCGTCACGTGAATGATAAAAATGGTGGTTAGAATGATATGACAGAATATTATATCAAATGAAACCATTTAAAAGTTAATATCTTTAACCTACAAACAACAGCTTGTTTATAAAAACTGTTTAAATCTTGTTTAGAAATTGTTTTAGTACTCTGTAATACAGGAAACTTAAACGTAATAAAAGATGTTGATGTCTTATAATTATTTTTGCAAGGAAGCTTCCAAAAGATCAGTTTTAGAAAGTTCTTCACGTTTTGGTTTATTGACAACATGACTATTCCAAGAACTAATGCATATTAAACATTCAAAAGATGACTTTCTAACGCCATGGTTTAGAAGTTATAAGCATGTTTAGTCATTCCTCAATCTCCTGTAGCAACAATGGCTAGAAGGATGATAGTACTATGACATCACTGTAACTAGCTTGGTTTGGTATTTATTTGTATTGTATTTTATGATAATGCAGTGTAAATTCTCAAATGCGTTTGGCTTGTTTTGTTTTTAAGCTGGACTGTTGCTGTCGTTAGTGGCCAATTTAAAATTATTCGTATAACATCGAAATCAACGACAGTGCAAAGAACCTTTTCACCTCGAATATGCCTTTAGATAATACATCATCCTTGGGCCGAAGATGGAGTTTTCAAAATAAATATATGGTGTAAATTTGTGTTAAACATTTAAGATCTTTTAAAAATTGGGGAAAGTGAGGTAATTTTAACATCTGACATAATCTTATGTTGATGTACTGTTTCGTTATTAATAGCCTTGAACAAATGGTAGAAAACTGATCTTCTTGTATGGAATAAAAGTCGTAGTAAGGTAATAAAACCACTGATGTAAATAAATAATCGATTACATCTGAAGTCTGGGGGTTTTTTTTGTCTTACAATTATAGACGAGGATGGGGACAAAGTCCCACTGAATATTCTCGTATATTACATTACAATGCTAGAGCATAAAGTACATAAAGGTTTTTAAAAATAAAGGTAAATGTACATTTGACGTTTTACCATACTGTCAAACATGTTCTAAATTACTTACCTCATTGGTTAGCTTAATGTTTAAAGATTTCGTTGCAAGTGATAATTAACAAACATGAACATTTTCCTATAATAACTGCAAATTTTTGAAACTTCACAAACACTCATGATGTAAGGAATTTATCCCTTTCGGTTACTAATGGTTAATGTTTCTTGTTTTAATCAAAATATCCGATATTGATTACAATTAGTTTAAGCCGAGGGACGTAGATGTGGGATACTTTGTGTACACATCGACTCGTTCCTACTTCATGGAGACCACTTTCCATTGGATTGGGGAAGAACTATTGAATTTGAGGTTAAAGGTTGAGGTCACCATTTCTAGAAAAAATTATATAATAAGGAAATGTATCGTATTGGAAATAGTTAAGAACCTTCCATCTTCTGGCAGGTTTTTTAAATATATTTTCTATTTAAAGTTAGTGTTTTGAGGAAAATATGTCTGCAAGCAAGCTCGATCATTAAAATGAAATTTCTTGCGCATGAAAGATGTCTCGCACTAAAGAACTAACTATCCACGTGGGCTACCTAGGATTTTGAAAGATTGATTTTCGTGAGGTTTCTCGTTGTTTTCATTGATGATATAATTTACGGGTTTTCCATGTAAATTATGATAACCGAGTTCGTTTTGTTTTATCTTCAGAAATACTATTCTTTTCGGCTGTATAACTTACAGAATCAAAATCTGACTGAAAGTGTTAAAATTTCACGAGATGGGGAAGCAGAAATTACCTGATAGGGGTGCTTGTGGAAGACTTAAATGTAATTCTTCAGGATACCTAGAATCGGGGCGTTTATAATAAGATGGAGCACGTAAGATGTGTAGGGTAAAACTAGAACATGTATGACAGACACGGAATTACACATAGTGATCTGTCTTATCGCATGTAGCTTTGGAAACGTATCTTTTAAACATGATTCCGTGCTAAAATCTCTGAAAAATTATAAGCCAGTTATGGAGTTAAGGCTATATTTTATCTACAGGAGGGTTGCGTATAGAATAATTACAACTGATCCCATGGATATAGTTCCATAGAGGCTTATCAATAAAACTAACTTTATCAAATATCATGAATTTATGCAAAAAAAGGTTGTTTTTTTACTGGTTAATTGATTATCATTTATTGTAGGCAATCTTTGTATCGTGAATTTGTACGAGTTTTGGGAAGATCTGTATCCACAGAGTTGAATTTCTTTACTACGGTATTTGATAAAACTACCAGTTTCTTGTAAAGAGGATATAGCGTTGATACCAACGAACTTGAAAGGTATCAGGTTTACATTTCATGTTTAAAAAAATCTATATGGCTTACTTCTTAATCTTGTTATTGTAACTTTGTACTTAGTATCGTGGAGAAGCCTTATGGTAGCAGTTCTAAATATTCGTGATCACTGACAGGAAAGCTCGTTTGTGAACTATTTATTTTTTTGTGTTACGGTCCATAATGTCTTATTTAATTAACCACTACTTTTATATTTCTTATATAAATCTGTAAACTTTCTAGTCTGTATGTTTGAGAAAATTATGGAATTGGTCATCAAATAATTATGTGATAAAATACGACCAGAGAAATGATATATATATATATATATAACATTTAAGGAAAAATTAAGAAATGCGTAATTTATAAAATAAAAAACTAAGTAGACTATTTAAAATATCAGACGCCGAATATAAAATAATTCCAACAAAAATGAAACATGAGATTAATTTTGTTAATTTATAGTTTCTTACAAACGGTAGGAATGCGAAATGGTGAAAACGTTCACTAGTGTCTATATATAGATCTTTTTCCTTAGTTCTGTCGATCATTAAATGTCCAAATTGTCGCATAGGTTCTATCAATATTTGTTATATATTTTCTCAAGTTTAAATACATAAGTTAGTTAAATACAACGCTATTGCATATTATATGAGATGAATATTTTGTTTTAAAACGAAAGAAAATTGTTTCAGGCTCTATTTTCATTTGATATCAACAAATGATTACACTCTATGTCCGCATAGCTTTCCAAAAATCCACAAAGAGAACATCCCAATACACCCACATCCAATCTTTGTAAATACCTTGCAAGTTTACTACGCCCCTTAGTTGGTAATAACTAGTACCAAACGAAAAATTGCTTTGTATATGAAAATTATCTTCAAACAGTACTCGTTAATTAAAATGATGTTGTAACTGGCTTTAGATTAAAAGTTGCTAAGACTAGACCTTTACCCAACGGACGTCACTTTCACCAGATAAATGTTTACGCTATTAAAACTTCTTGATGTCACTCAGTTCCAGCCAGGCCACGTTTTTGTTCGACTTAGGGTATGGTGGTGGGTGGGTAAAACAAAATACGCAGCCTAGCTAACTAATGACTGAATATTTGCTGTAAAATTCTTATCAATGCTATAAATGTAGCTTCCAATTTTGATTTCGTTCCTTTAAGTCACACGCTCAGATCTTTTTTGGTAGCGCATTTTTTTCATTGATTAGATTAGACATCATGTAAGAAAGATACACTCGATAGTAACCAACATTAGCTTTAGGATCGCAACCCTATTACTCGGAACAGACCTATACTTTACAGAACCAACCAGATTCTTTAAAATATATAGTGGTAGTTTTTTTTCCACTAAGAAACAGCATTAATATTTTTCTTTACAGTAACGCCATGAAAACTAGATTAACAGTTTCTTGTCATCACCCACATGCAATCGGTACAGACGTGTCAACCATCATTATTTACACTAATGTCACGTGACGCTGAACGTTCTATAATTAGAAGAATTGCATAAACTTGTGCTTAAAAGTTGGCAGTGAATAATACCGCTCACCCGTATGATTATTTTGAAAACTTGTGCTAGAAACTGCTAATTTAGTTTGCTTGGCTTAACCACTACTTATGTGCACGTGTTTTCACCTTATAGTTTTGCTGTTCTAAATCAGCCGTCTTTAATCCGAATGATAAAAAATTCAAAACGGTCCGCCTTTTCTCTTAGATGAAGCTGTATTGAAAAGTTTAAACCGATAGCTCAAGTGACTTTTTGCGTAGACGTGCGCAAAAATTTCGGTCAAAACTAAACGATTTTGTAGAATAATCTTGCACGTGTGACTTATATCTAGATTAAATTTGACACCTAATTATAGGTTATAAAGATCTATCAATGTACCAAATTTAAAAATATTCCATAAAAGTTATGTTTTTCTATCAAATAAAGAAAAAAAAAATGTGCGTGTGTGTATTTTCTTACAGCAAAGCCACGCCGAGCTATCTGCTGTGTTCACCGAGGGGGATCTAACCCCTAATTTTAGCATTTTAAATCCGAAGACTTGCCGCTGTCCCACCAGGGGGAACCAATCAAAATTGGAATCTTTACATCTCGTGCATTTTTTAATGGATGGCCTTGAAATTTGGTATGTGAAGTAAGGGTCCAGTAGAGCACATTCACTAAAAACATGTGTTAGTTTAGATTGCCACAGTCCAAGCTACAGAGAGTGAAAAATTGCTAAAATATCACTCCTGTAACACACAATGTGACCTGAAGGTTGTTTTGGCCGCACGACACACTAATGTGAATCTTGATTACATATTTTATTCTTAGTTTTACTTAAGCAGTTATCTAATATATGTAAGTTGTTGAACTATAACTGGTGAGTTTCGCTTTCCTAGACATATGCTATTTGACATGAGTGCAAATTTCAACTAATCATTAATTTCGTTTTGTAGAAATATCTTAATTTGTATTTGGTTTGAAAAGAAACCTTCGTGAAAACCGCGTACTTGTAGTTAGGAACTTGTCACGTGTAGTTTATAA